GGAGTTCGCGAGCGGAAGCAAAATTTTGCGAACGGTGCTGTTCGTGACCCAAATTGGTCGTGAACAGAAGCGTTCGTGACCCGAGGTACCACTGTAGTCTTTGAGGACCCTAGAAATTATCTGAATAGCAGGTGAAGCCCCTATTGACAGGATTTTAGTGGGGAACTTTCAGGCTTGATTTACCCGGGTTAAGTAGGTCAATATCAGCACTTTTAAAAAATTTAGAATCTTTCCAAATAGGGAATTCAGCTGGGGATTGATTGCATCAGGATGTTTCAAAGCTTTGAGATTCAATTAAGAATATGAATCTGGAATTTTAGACAGAAACTTCAAACAGCATGGAAGGGAATTCCAGTATAATTCCTCCTTTGTGCAGGAAGATGATCAGGGTTGAAGATGACCTGTTTGGATATAGAGGTCAGTCATAGGAGCCAACAAAACTATGTGATATTTGCAGTAGAGTTGCCTTGCATCATTCTTTATCTCTCAGATGTGTGGGGATTCCAAATCTCAGAATTCACAATAAGCATATTCTCTTTTGAGGTAGGTATGAATTCAGCTTTGACATGAAAAAGGAAGTGAAGAAAGGAATTTTTTATTCCATGCTACTCATCCTTGTCTTGGTCCTGGAGAAATGAGGGAAGGCCCTCAGAGAAATTATAACAACAACCCCCTGGGGTCTGCTCTGGTAAGCAAGGCTGCAGTGATGAGTTTATGCCAATATCTTTTCATCAAAATATGTTAATTAACTTCTTCCAGTTAATCCACTGTTTAGATTAGTTTAGATTAAGGTGCATAGATATCTGTGGAGGGGGCAGAGGATGAAATGTGCATCATGATACAAACCTGGTCCCCCTTGTACATGCATTTCAGTGTCACACACATGTACAAAAGAGGTGGAGCTTGCATGTTGATATCACAATGTGCATTCCATCATTTTATGAAATCTTGGCCCCTGGTCGTGAATCTTAACATAGGTTTAAAATGTTTAAAAAAGTGAAGAAACATTCTGTCTTCTGTCTAATACAGAAGTTAACATGTCTGAGATGGAAATCTGTTATGACATTTGGATATATATTTTAGAAGATAGACCCAGATATCATAGCAGATTGCCTCCCTCCCCCAAAACTACTATAATTCTAAAAAGATGTCATCAAATAATTTTAGAATTTTGGGATTAAGTAAAGGAATCTTTAAAGAGTTTTTAAGTATCATAAGGCTTGTTGTTGTACTGTCATCTGAGACCTCCAAGCTGTTGTACTGTCTAAATGTCTTTTTACATTCTAAAAAGATGTCATCAAATAATTTTAGAATTTTGGGATTAAGTAAAGGAATCTTTAAAGAGTTTTTAAGTATCATAAGGCTTGTTGTTGTACTGTCATCTGAGACCTCCAAGCTGTTGTACTGTCTAAATGTCTTTTTACATTCTAAAAAGATGTCATCAAATAATTTTAGAATTTTGGGATTAAGTAAAGGAATCTTTAAAGAGTTTTTAAGTATCATAAGGCTTGTACTGTTGTACTGTCATCTGAGATTGTGAATTTGGGGTTTTCATAAGCTGTACGCTATAATCATCACAATTATACCA